TTCACAAAAGTCTTTCAAAGCATATATTATTGTAGTACTAGAATGATTTTGATGAGTAACGTCATCTTCATGTTAAGGTTCAAAATTTTTCAGACTATCCTCGTATATATAAAATATATATATTTCGTATATACTTATTTAATATATAATAGTAATATTTGAATATAGTAGTAATATAGTAATGTAGTAGTAACTAAACATTTTTTTATAAATTATCTTTTTGTTTCTTATTTTCAAAAAGTATTCATATCCAAAGGCCAGTTTTGTCATTTATTAGAAAAAAATGTTCATTTTGCAAATATTTTCTTTCATGAAAATATTAAAAATATATTATTTTGTTTTTATTTTTGGTTATACTTTAATCTCCTCTTTATAATCAAAATCTATCTGATATTTCAAACAATATAAATATAAGAAATATATTGTTTTAAATTTCGATAACTTTTTATTACATTGTACAACCGATACATTCTTAAACCCATATCAGACTACCAATTAGGAGTGAGATTAGAATTTAATCAACTGGAAAGAAAACAAATCTCAAGTTTACAGAACTTTGTTTTGATTAATCAAATTCCAATTCAGTTTTAATTTTAATTTATAGTGTGATACGAATTTAAGAGGGGATTAAGATGATGGATCAAAAAAATAAATTTTTTTTTATCTTATCTGAAAATTTAAATATTGAAGAATATATTTGGTTTGCATTTCAATTTGAGAAAAAAAAGTTTCGAACTAGGTTGAACTTTTTCGGAAGTATATTCGGTCACGTGAACGTAGTGCCTGGTAGACGCAATAACACTATTGAGATAGAATTTTTGACTTATGCTGACCTGTACGTTTTGTGTGTTTTGACCTGCTGACCTGACGTGCTTTTCTTTAATTTTAGAGTCTTTTATTTTCATTCAAATTAGTAGATAGATTTGTTCTGATCATGAAAATGATTATTATGCTATAAAAATTATTGACATAAAAGTTCAATTAGAAATGATGCAATTTGGGTAACTTATTATAACAAGTGCTCTATTGATAAAAATCCAGAATAATTGAAACACAAAGATAGTTAATGCAAATGGCAGCAAGCGGAAGCAAAATGTAAGAAATTTCATGTATCAAAAAGAAACACATCACAAAATTCGGAAAATCATTTCATTAAAACCTATTTACAAAAATTTAACAAAATTGGGATTATTGAAAAAATGTGTTGACCATTTTAATTAAAATAATAATAATAAAAGTTATAATTATTATTATAAAAGTAATAAAAGTAATAAAAGTTATAATTATTATTATATTTAAAAAAAAAGAGACAATCAAGCAATAGCGACATCATTTAGAGAATTAAAATAATATTAAAGTTGTTTATTCAAAATGCTTGGAAATTAAATATCAATCATAAAAAAGACTTTTCACAGCAAGTTTTTTTATTTTATTATATCATAGCTAAAACTAATATTTTTAACTTTTTCAAATTTATTGTTTAAATATATTGAAGTTTAATAAATTATTAACTACACCCTACTATATGTTAAAGACAATATTATTATCTATTATTTGATCTGTCATTCCATTGTGTCCCCTTAAATTAGTGTTTGATTCTCTACCGTTGTTTGAAAGCGTCTTGATATGCGTAGAAAGTGGATTCGTAACGTGCACAGATGAGAGCAATGTTGTTAATTTAGTTGAACGTGAGCGGAATAACAGAGAGCCGCCGGCCGAGTAATTGTATACAATTATATCATTTGTTTGCTTTCTGGCCGCCACGGGTCGTGAGAATGAGGTCTAACCGAGCGTTTAACGGCGACAAATAAAGTTGTATGCGTGTCAAGTGAACTCATAACGCGTGTTTGCACGCGTGTCGGTGGTAATTAATCAGCCCGAGCCAACGAGTAGATACGCTCGAACCCGTGGATTCATCGTTCGCGAATTTCGAGTTCTCCAGGTATGCTGAATTATTTACAAGATTATTTATCATCCATATACATAGTCAAAACGTCAAATAATTGGCAACGCTAATTAACTTCGACACTTGTTAATTTGTCGGAATTGTTAATTGATGTCGCGTGAATAGGTTAATCAAGTGAGCTGAGATTAATGACGTACCTAGAAAAATTTTTTTGTCGAAGAAACGGCATGTACGTAGACTCGATAACACGCCAAGATCATTATGAATTCATGACACTGCTGTATGTTAACGAATCGACGATTATTCGACCGATATACAATAGCGACTATGTATTCGCGGCATGCACAGTTAACTCGTGGTGACTAAACAATATTTTGCAACGAGAATACGACGGTACGTTATTTGCCAGTGCTTCATAAGCTATAATCAAAGTGTATCGACTTGTGCTGTACGATTTTGCTTCGTGTTCAATCTCCTTCGAAATCCGCATGCAGGAAAAATTTTTTTTTATTGACGGAGATAGTTTTATTGACGGAAACAGCAGGAAGAGACGTTTCTAGCGTGGACATAACTGTTTCTTCGTTTATGAATTCGAAAAAGATATTCGATATTAGTTACAAAATGACATTTAAGAAATCGAGCATTTCTTATTTAGACTTCTTATCAATAATCAGAGAAAAAGGTCTCGAAATGCACTAATAATACAGAATGTTTTGAATCTGGTACAGCGAGGATTGGTGAAAGTTAGGGAAATTGAAAAATAGTCATAGGATGGCGAAGAAAAATCAGGACGGATGTCAGGGAAATCAAGGAAACTTTCAGAATTTGCAATATTGTTGATAATTAGTTGTAAAATATTTCAATCATAAACACATGCATAATAAAAACTAAGACATATTGCTTATACAATAATAATGTTATAATGTTCTGTGTAAAAAAATTGAAACAGTGAGAATATCACTAGGAGAGTACATTAACAATGTAACATTTCCCGATGATAAATCCAAGATGCAAACGGAGAATGCAACAGATGTGCTATTTAAAGCATACTGATTTTATAATTGATCCGATATTCAGTATTGAAGATAATAATTTTGTGTTAGATGCAATTTTATTTAATGAAAACGGATATTTATTTTAATAATTTTATAAAAGTTGATTTTTGTATTGGTTATTGCATTATATAATTTTTGTTCATAACTTTTAAAAATAAAATTTGCAAATTTTATTCAACATAAAATACTTATTTTTTAGAGTTCTTATAGTTTCTTTCAAAATTTAATTATCGAAACTCGAGTGATTTTTAATTTTATTTTATGATTTATAAACTTTAAGAATGAAAAATATTAAGCTTTTGTATAATAAATATATATTTATTTGTAAAACACATTCAAAAATATTTTTATTTTACTTGGAAGTTTTAAAAATCAGGAAATTCTTAGAAATTCTTTTTCGGATTTAAGACACTCTCTAATAGACACTCTCTAATAATTTATCAGGAGATTTTGAATTATTATAGATATTGAATAAATTAAACATACATGAAATATAAAAATGATCAATCATGTATATCAAATTAATAATTTTAAAATAAAATATATATCTTAAATATGCTATTTACTTTCTATATTAATATAGTAATAAATAATTTTTTACAAAAATCAATGCAAATTTAAAAATTTAATAATTTTCAAACCGTTTAGAGAATTGTACTCTATATAATAGATATGTAGAAAAAGTAGTAGAATAATCTACGTAATTTTTATATCATTTAAGATTAATCAATTAAGATGTTTAAAATGTATAATACACACATACGTTTTTTTAGTTTCTTTAATATTAAATTCACGAATAAATAAAGAATTCTTTTGCATCAGAACCTCAAAAATTCTTCACACGTTCCTTAATATATTTGATACATATAATTAATGAAAAAAAAGTTTTTAAAAACTAGACTATTTATATGCAATGGAATTATGAATAAAAAATGAAATTTAATCGAGCATCACTACTGATAAACACGCTGTTAAACACGTCGGTCCGTCGGGTATCATTCAGTTAGTATGCTGCCGTTAATCGTTGACGATGATCACTAATACTTATGGTGATAGTGTCATCTTCTCTTTCTTAGTACGCGTCTCAGTTCTCAATGCGAGTGAGCTTGCGAATGATACAACGAATGTGATACGAATTTTTACGACATGGCAAACGTATTTTTGCAGAATCTTCTTCGATATATACGAAATGGTGAGTTAGAGAAAGAGAGATTGGAAGAACGATCCAATTGATTAGCGAGCCTGATGTCTGTGAGAGGCTCGAGACCCCTATAGCGGTCAATAATAGAGAGAATCATGCTCTTCTAGTCTACGATGTCTGTGAGAGGCTCGAGATCCCTATAGCGGTCAATAGTAGAGAGAATCATGCTCTTCTAGTCTATGACCAGAGATTTCTTGGACAGGTCAGGCGAATCTAGGACGAGTAAGGTTGCAGTAAAAAATTACCAACACACTTTGTCTAATCTAACCATCTCAGATGACCTTCGACGTGTAATCGTACTCGTTGGTTTAAATCGATAATGATCAGATATCACATTAATCAACGATACATATGCGATTCTTCTGAGTATTTAGTTTACATCGCAAATACTTTTAAGGAAACAATATACGCTAAAGAAATAATTTTTAATAAACAAATATATAAAAGCAAATATTTTTTTTATATAGAACTTTCATAAAAATTTTAGCGTATCTCATAATATTTGAGAAAAAACTATTCAAAGAATATTATTTGATTCAACTATATGCGGCAGTCACAGTGAATATTTGTTAATTCACAGGAATATTTTATTCACATATAATTAATTTAAATATATATATATATGTATATATAAACTAATCATTATATTTAACTAAATAATTTAACTAAAATTAAAAAAAATCACTACGAATTAAAAACGCATATATAATCAAGATAACAATTTTTTTCTTGTCAACTGTATTATTTTTGTAACTATGATGGATAAAAAAAGATTTTCGTCCTTGAGCGGTGCATCACTCATTTAATATTAATTAACGAAAACTCTTTATCATTGCAGGTGTAAATCATTATAAGATGGCAACCAATGAGGACGGCGATCTGATCGATCTTGGAAATGATGTATGCGTGCCGCGAGTCACTGTGGACAATGCGACACCCGAAGAACAGGAGCATCTCCTGGACGTATGTCCCCCGAAATTGGAACAGAAACTTTCTCTCACTAAGCAACAAGAGCGAGTATTGAACAGCACCGACAAAGGTGATGTCTTGGTGACCTTGGGTCATGATCAAGTAATACCGATTTGTAAGAGGATTGATGTGGTCTCGTCAGACACAATTAAGCGAGTTCGCGACATCACTAAAAATTTAGAGCCGGTGATACGTAGAGATCATTTGGGCACCAACAAGGAGATCCAGCAGGATACAGTGGACCACGCGACGACGATATCAAGCGAAAAAACGCAAGAAGCCGCGACCGTGAGGCATGAAGACGAAACGTACGAGACACGAGAGATAAATGACGCTTTCAATTTCCTCGCCGAGCACGACGACAACGAGGACCAAGCGGAAACGAGCTGCGGTCACATAAGGAAGGAGAACGTTGACCTAAATCGCGCGATATCTCCCGTGCGTCTTTTGATCGGGGGAAAAGAGGATACGGCCAGTTACCCCTTCGAATCGTCGTCCAGGACCTCGAACGAGGAAGTGAACGGTAAAAACGACACGGAGAAGACGAAAAGCGTCGTCACGCCGAGCGAATACGATGTCCAGCTGAACAATTCGGTCTACGACTCTTCGAGTCCGAAGAAGTTTCGTGAAGGCAATTCAGCCAAGGGCAGATCGATTTCTATCCGTTCAGAATCTCACGCGAGAGTTGTTCTCAAGAGACGCAGCCAGAAAAACGTCGCCTTCGAACGCGGAAGGCGTTCCTTTCGAGAATCGAATCGTAAATCATGGACGGAAGGGACGAGCCTAAACTCGGCTTTTACCGTACCGATCGAACTTTCTCGTATCGATAAATTCAACAGTCTTGAAGAATATCACTGCGCACCGTCGGTCTCCAACATCGATTGTGGAGCATCCACTTTTCTTACGAGGTACAATTGCTTCCGTTATATTTTCATGCTTTTCTCACGCAAAGAATTTTCGTACTTTACGTCAGTAGAAAAGAAAGAAATTGCAAATTCTGTAAGGGCTATATAATGAAATATTTTCTAAATTAATAATCTTTTTTTAAATCTAAATATCTTAAAGCTTTGAGAATAATTTCATTCCGTCGAGAGAGAGGCCACCATCTCTCTGTAGTACCGATCGTAAGGATTCGAGAATGTATACATATATGTATATTGTAATATATGTATATGTGTATATATGATATTGTATTGTTTAACATTGTATTTGTTGTTCTAAACACATTATTGCGATAAATGCCTCAGTGCACCACATGCCTCAGTAGTCAAAAGGATAAGATATTTGCCCGATAAGCAGGGGATCCAGGTTCGATTCCTGGCTGAGATGATATTTTTCGCAAAAATAATAATTACAAATTTTCATGACTGATTCGGCCGTGATGCATATCCTCCCTTCTTATATCATGAATATTCAACATCATAATACAAAATTATCATAATTATCGAAAGTGAACAAAAAGTGTTTTGTACTTGGAAAATAACTTTATAAAACTTGAATCCAGTTTCGCATCGATTAGAAAATGTACAAATATATAATATCAAGGCTTTAAGAAGAGTCAATAAGAATATATCAAACGACGTAATTAATACGCATATATGATTATTCATAAAACACATACACGCGTGCGCGCGCATGCACACGTTAATTTTATAAAAGTAGATGATTGATAAATAAACGTTTCGATTTCAATTTCAATTTTGAGCCATTTTCAACGATGTTTTAGTTGAAGCAATGAGATTTCCAAATGTTAAAAATTCCAATACGAAAAGCATTATTAGAAAAGCATCTTTCAATATTCTCAAATTGAATTGAAATGAGAATTTCCCAAATGGAAGATCCATTAGTTCAACGGCACATGGACGAATTAAAAAGTTTCATATAATTTAATGCAATGTATATTTTTTATCTCCAAAAAAAAGGAATTCAGCGTATTCATCCAACACATAATAGGATAAATAAAATAAATTTTAGGACACACAAAAAGGAGATGTACAGATAAAGTGCAAATATATATAAGAATCACATAGTTAAAATAAAATTAAGATAAAAGTCAAATTAAATGAAACCCGTAATCTGTTGAAGATAAATATATTTTAAATGTATCAACTTTCTTGTTTCCTAACTCTCGGAGACTGTTATGTATGTTTCAGAGTACAGAAAATTCTTTTCTCCTTGGCCTCTCGCGTTAGCTTCAGCTAACATCTCGCTTACCTTTGTTATGGCTTCTCACAGAGAACAAGCTCATATAGCTAGACTCGAATGCAAGAATTCGCATAGGTAAACTCGAATGCATCGGTAGGAAAGCGCGCTTTCGTGCCGGAAGTATTTACATAGGTTCGAGTCTAACGAGCGTGCAAACTGTTTCGATTCAGATTCTCTCGATGAACACACGCTTTAGCGACGAGATAAGAAACGATATAGAATTTTTCTTGCCAATCGAAGTTAAGACACTAACAATGAAAATGCAGATCTCCTTTGACAATCGCGAATGCATTATATACGCCGTATTCTTCAAATATTATTAGCATGGGTGTAAGCTTGAGAGTTTTAGAGAACCGCTTTTAACTGGCAGACCTTTGAAGTGACCGCTGCTGAGGGAACTCAGAATACTCATTGAAAATCATTCGTGGTTTTTACATTGAAACTTTACGTCGAATTCGTCTGCACATGGAATGTATTATATGTCCTTCCTTTCTTTTTTAATTAAAAAATCGGAAAAGAATTAGGAGAGTTCTTAAATTTCAAAAATTTTTACTCGCCATGGAGACAGTGAAATTTTCTAACAGTTGCGGACTCAAGGTGATAGTGTGAACATTCGTGAGTCTAAAGGCGAACGCATCACTCTCACTCGAAAAAAATTATCATAATGTCACAGGGTACACGATTTCGTGTAGCATGGATTTTTACAATAATTTACACAGCGATATCGCGAGCAATGATTTAAGGGGATTTTAAACTGACGAGCGAACTTCGACGAAAACGTTTACACACATGCCATCTAAACATACATAGATATATTTATGTGTACATACACTCATACATACATTTCTATATACACATGATACATACATGAACAATTTTTCAGGCACGCTAATCTTTTATATCACGTTTTCAAGCCTAATTGTAAAAACTCTACATTGTTCCTACATGTAATTCGCATTTTCTACCGATGTCATTTTGTACAAATAGGCTGCCAAATTTTTATATGAAGCAAATATTCGCACATGTTGATAGTTCTTGACTCCATATTGGACTAATAGTCGGTAAAAAAGATCGAAATTTCTTAAATTTTTTTCTCGGTGTAAAGTCGACTGGTATGACTTACATAGGTGTGTATACTTTAATTGTGGAAAAAGATTTTTAAATCTGCAAATATAATTAGAAAATTAGCATGCCAGAAAATTAATCAGTTTGGTCGATAAAACAGGACAGACTTTAGGATCTCCTTAAGTTCCGCATCGAATTAAACGATTCAAAAGGATGGGACATTATGTATTACATGTGAAAGCGGAAAATTCTGGTTCGACGTACTGCAATAACGCATGTTATATGACAATTGATATGGAAAAAAAATTGTTTCATATTTCCGTTATTTTTTTCTCGTAATGAAATATACGTGGAAATAGAACATTCTTCCTTTTGAAAACAAATAAAAGAGTTGTCATTATCGTCTACTCTTTCTCGTGGAGAATCGCAGGCGAATACGAATTGGATAATTTACTAATAGCCACCCTGTAACGCGGCGTAATTCCACATAATTCTCTTCCGTTTGCGTTCTCTCGTTAACGTCACGTTACAAAAGCAATTCACCTTCGTGTTTGTAGGCTCTTGCTACAATAGCGAAACGGTCGCTTTTGTTTCGCATGCGTAGAAATAATTAATAACAATAGCGGCGCGGTATCGATACCGTGCAAAGGAGATCTTCGTTGTCCATTATAATGCAAGTATGATATCGTTGCGTCCGATATAGGCGCGTTGAGAAAGGGCATCGTGCGTTTAGAAAGTCACTCTCTGGATTAATCTATGAATGGTACATCTGAGCGAAACGCCGTAATGTCTGTCGGAGATGCGAGTTGTAATACAAAATGAATAAGTACAAAGCATAGATAAAGAACCGAGGTAAAGAACGAAATATAAAAGTAAGAACACATGAATGGAAAATAAGTTTCTTCTCTTCTGGAAAGAGTAAGAAATCCGTGAGTTGAAAACTCATTTGTTGAAAATATATAATGATTTCTGTCACGGCACATGTCTCTTTTTGAAATATAAATTCGATAAATATAGAGAAACTAAATTGAAACCTAAGTAACACACAAAGATTTTTAATGTCTAGTTTCATTTAAAAAAATATACGTTGTTGTCTAAATACAATATATATAGCTTTATTATTCTAATTAAAATAAGTTTGTACATCGCGCTATTAACGTATAATTAACTTATTAAATGTAATATATGAAACATTCGAGATAGATCGAATAGATACCGATATTAATGAGATATCGACAACAAAATATCTAAAATATCTAAATGTTATATTTAATATTTAGATAACTTTATTTAAATGTTTCTCTAAATATTATGAGAAAATTACAAAAAGAGATAGAAAACGAGAAATGTTATTTTGTTAAATATGAAATTTTTTAAATCTCATTATTAGTCTTGACTTGTCTCGAACAGCTGGTATCTGAAATTTCTTTTTATTCGCATATATAATAAAGAGGCATGTATTTTATCTTTAAATATATTCGTTTCTAATCACTTTTCTGTAAATTTCATTCTATGTATTTTTCGATAAGAGGAAATATTTTTGATGATAAAAGAATATATTTTCTCGTGCAAACTTTGATTTAAAAATAAAATCTGAATTCAGAGAGTTTATTTCATCAAATTTTGAAACTTTTTGATTATATGATATATACGATAATTGTATCAGCACCGATTATTTCGTACAGAAATACAATATTCGTCGGGAAAAGTTTTTGGATCATTGAAGGGTTAATCCAGTGACGACTGTATCGTTATCGACAGACGACTCACTGGGAAAGGGCACGACGTTTAGAAAGTCGGTCCGCAGATACGCGATCGCCGCGGGCGCTACAAAAGCAATCGGGTCATCGAGCGCACGAACATACGGCCTCGCCTCTCTTTCCCCGCGCGACATGCGGAATTTAAACAACAAATTTCAGTTGTTATATCAGCGAAACACTTCCCACGCGCGACTCGCGCACAATAAGGTGAGAGCCGTGCCATGTTGGTTGGACATTACGCATCCGGAAAGCCGAGTTGCAGGATATGCGCATTGCCTTGTGTGACGAAATCGCTCAATGCCTCGCTGCACGTTCGCGATGCGAGATAATTTCTAAATGAAAAATCTATGATTTATACTAAGAGGAACCTAATGCGCAAAATTGATAAAATAAAAAAATTACAATTAATGCATGTTGTATAAATCACATTCAGTTTGCTTATACATATTGAAATGTGAAATCATTTTTATCTATAATATTTTTATTTTGTAAATAATTTGAGTTTAAATTTTTCGATATTCTTGAGCGATACTAATAAGGTATTAAGTCTATAATATATATAATTCTGCTACATAATTCGCTAAATCCAAGCATAAAGTCTTATACCATCTATTTCGAATTACTACGTACCTTCTGCATAATGTCATAAACTGGATTGAATGTAAGACTAAAATATAAAGAAAAAAAGTTAGGCCAGACAGGAAAATTATAGAGGATAGTCTAGATTCTTCATTTAAAGATAGCAAATTCTAAATTCGTAAATTATTTCATAAAATCTAAAATTTATATTTATATAAAAAAATGTCATTAACGCAATTATGAAATCGTTTTATGTTATAATCTTAGTTGATTGATTTCATAATAATAGTTATGTAGTATATTATATAATAGCTTTTTCTAACCCAACTGCGCGCGCGCGCGCACGCACGCACACACACACACACATACGCACGCGCGCGCGCGCGCGCGCGCACACACACACACACACACACACACAAAAGTATATAGCAAAAATCCTTTTTTTTTTTTCGAAAAAATAGTTTTTGCTGTAAAATGAAAATTGTTTGAGTATATGTATATTTAATGTGTGTATAAATGTATCTACAAAATATAGCGCCAAGTCATAACTTTCTCACAATTTCGCCTCTTTTCTCGAGAGACTTAAATCATCTGCTATAATCACTCTCTTACCACTATTTCCCCGCTACTTCCTGCTACATACCTGCGAATAACTCAATGTTCTATGTTTTGAGGCACGAAGAGAATTACCGAGCATCTCCACCCACATTCCTACGATTATCCTCCCACAATTCGTAATCGCGCAGCATTCTTCGCCGAGGGCGAAAGAGCCACACGAGCGGACGCGACATACGATCAAGTATACACGCGCTCCCATACATATAGAATATACCGCATGAGCTGCATCTTGTTATCCTTCTCGATCTTGATGATTGTGCTCGATGGTCGTGTCGAAACGGATGTAGGATACGGACGGGGTATCCGTCAGTGATCCACAGGAATCGGCATAGAAATGCTTTCTGACACGCGGCGTTGAGTATATCCATAGATCTTATAATACTGAATACGTCTTCTGAATAAAATTGAGTTGATAGAGTGAGAGAGTAATGTTCTGTCCTGTTTCTATATGATAAAGCGAGAAAGCTATATCTGATATCCCTCTTTATCATATACTTTCGGAAACTGACGGATAGAAGATACGACACGTCTATGTCTACTGTCTCTTTCTATTTAAAGAAAAAGGCGTATTCAGTACTATAGGAATATAGATCTATGGGTGTATCGCTGTACGGAGTATTCTCACAGGCGTTACATTTCGGACCGGAAGTCACGTGGGGGGTCGTGCGCGCAAAGCGTGAAACCCGCATTGAGATGTCTCCCTCCTCTGTCAATCTGTCTAGTTTTTCATATTCCGACACTTTTGGCCCCCTCGAAGCGGCACGTGCTACTGCGTCTTGTGCGCGGAACTAAAAGTTCTTATTTAGAAAGTTCCTTCTGGGATGATCTCTTTTTCTCTTTCGGGCTATTCTCCGCGTTTGACTATCGCGATGTTATCATGTTATTTCGTCTTGGCTAGAGAAAGAAAGACGAAGGCGAACGCGTAAAATTAAAAAGAGCGCAACAAAGGTCGAGATTGTTGACCCGTCGTGTGCTTTGATACAGAAATTTTTTATGTTCAAAAAGAGAGATGACGAAACCTGTTGCTCCTAACTAATAAAAATAGGTATTATTTTTTTCTTTCTCACCTCTTTTCTTTCTTCTTCCTCACCTCTTGTGAAAAAATATTTTAGAAAGAAAAATATCAAAAAAAAAATTAAGGCTCCTGAGTATTCAGCTGAGAATTTCGCGTTAACGGTAGCGACATACCATCGCGGTGAAAAATAGAATCTTTGTTCATCTTTATGTTCATCTTTATGTAAATGACAACGAAATTTGTTATTGCGACTATTTTCGTTATTATGTTCTTAATCGTGCAGATGTGACTTGTTTCGTACTTATCAGATTTGTAAAAATGAGCGGCAGCTAAAATTATCTTCGGACATTATATGTAAAAGCATTTTTTCCACTTCTTTCAACAGCTGTCAAATCGTGTTGAATCTGCTTGAACAGATTTCATTTCACGTGCCTTTTACAGCTATTTATTGACTATTAGGAAGGGAAAGGATAGCAGCCGCCCATTTTCACAAATGTCTTAAAGTTATATTAGGTATTATTTTAGTCAAACATCTCTTTATTTACAAAACTACCGCAATAAACTTTATTGGGTTATACATTTCTCGCCTATAACGTCACTATTCCAATATGGCCGCGGTGACAACTAAGGAGCCTTAATATTGGTTGTTGTAGATGTTGTATTAGGTGTTACAATAATCAAGTATTATTATAACTGAAATATTTCAATGATTTTTTTGTTTATCCTAACAAGCAATACGAATCTTGTAGATTTCGCATTAATTATTGACCAATTAATATCACCAATAGTGATGCTAACTGCAATAATTAGAAACAGTTTTTAAGAAATATACAAAACATTTTTGTTTTATTCATTCTTTTATATCTGCACAAAAAAAGAAAACGGTTTTGCTAGCATTCAAGTTAATCTTTCGCGTTCGAAACGAGACCCGCATAACTCTAATCTAGCGAAGATTAAGCCCGCATTTTCCTATGCTTGCAGACAGTCATCGGAAGCGGAATCGGCGACCGACGTGACCGAGGACGTCTGCTCGGAAGGTTCCGAAGTGGATTGGTCATGGCTCGAGGAAGTAGATTGCTTACGGGCCGTAGAGTCGTTTGCGGCTGCCGGAGAACGTGGCAAACAGGAGGGATGGGTGAACGCTATCCCCACCAAGAGTGGGAGTGCGGGGCGCAGGCGCGCTTGTGAACGTCACGAGACGGCGACGGACCGCAGTGCCGTGATGTCCGTCACCGCGACGGCAAAGTCCCTAGCGAACGGTGGCGAACGGTGGCCATCTTCTGGTGGCGCGCTTCTTCTCGATCAAAACAGTAGTAACAATCGTCATAACGGCAGGCAACATCGCCGGCATTGTAACGGTAATAACAATAACAACAATGACGATGACGAGACCGCGGCCGCACGTTGTAACGCCACAAACGAGGCGGTCGATCGCGAAAATCGCGACAGTGCGACAACGATAACCACTGCCGCTGCCGCCACCGCCGCCACAGCAACCGCCGCCGCCGTCGCTATCGTCGGCTCGGCTGCCGCCACCGCGAATTCGTGGATGCGCGCGTCCATGCGACGTCTGCGTCATCTGCGACTACCCGAGGGCACGCAATGCGATAACGAGCCGGCCAATCGGCATCCCATACCCGTCTCGGCGCCGAATTCGCTGCCGGACATCGCACTGATCGCGCCGGAAATCCTCGCCGCGCAGACCAACGGTAGCGACACTTCCGGTACACTGCTCCGACCTTCGAGTGCACCCGCAAGAAACGTGATTACCGGCATTGCCTCCGCCTCCGCCACTACCACCACCATCACCACCACCACCACCACCGTCGCTGCGACACCGCGCCGAGCTGGCCGGCAATTCGCCGGCGGTAGATCGCGAGGGGTGCGAAGTCGCGAAGCGTCTTCGAGACAGGGCAGTTTTGGCTCCTCGACCACAGTCAGCGATATCACCGGCAATACAACCTGTTCTAGCTCCTTCGGCTGTATGTCCAGCAGTTCACCTTCCAGCACTACGGTCAGCCCACAACGTGTCACAAGAAGGTCAGTAATACACGAGTTTGCAATTACGTTTCTTTTATAGTCGAGAAAATGAATTAAATTTTTTCAAGATGGAGAAATATAAACAAATCACTTATATTACACTGGCTGTAAAGTTTCTCAAAGTATATATAAGAATTGCAAGATCTTTTTTCAACTTTAAAGAAAAGTGCAAAAAGTGATAAGAAAGGAAAATTAAGTGTAATATAAAAAATTATTTTTCTTAGCTGATAGTTTTAGAAATAACTGTTCGCTAGATGTTATTGATGTAAACGCTAAAAACTTCAGCAACGAGAGCAACGAGATAATAATCTCTATACATTAGCTTAAATATTTTTTGTCACGCTGCATATATAAAGAAGAGGATAAGATAGATACGACACTCTATTAGAAAACATCCATAACTAAAAATGTAGCTTATATTGAAATTTAAAAATAGCGAGTTTTAGCTATGCCAAAACTGGTTATTAATATTGGATCAGCAAAAGTCAAATATAAGAGGGTACTATATCTTGTACCATAACAATTAATAATATTATTAACGTAATTTAATGTATAGACTATAATATGATTTAATAATGTGATTTAATATATTGTAAATCTGATTGTTAACAAATAACGAAACAATTCTCTGTCGATGCTTAGCTGTCGTTATTAAGTAATGTATTGAATCTGTATTGATAACTAATATTGGACCAGTAATAGTAATAATATTAGTAAATTCTACTTGGGCAGACGCGTAAGCTGATAATTCAAAGATTCTTTTTAAAACGCGCAAAAAGTACGATCTTTATGATCGAAATTCTCAGAGTTGTGCTGTTCAACGTCTTCTTCTTGGATTTTGAATAGATCTCTTGTCACACTCCGGAAGCGGGAACGAACATGAAGTTAACGACTCGGTTGTTATTTGTTATTGTTCATCCGAACTTGACAATATTCTTTGTCGCTCACGTTTACGCAATCAGCTAACACTATTTCGCGACATTAGACAATCAGATATATAGAAACTTGTCTTTGCACGTAGGATTCTTCTCCGATCGATTGTCCCCGATTAGGCATGTTTCCACTTTGAAAATCGATAATTTTTGCACGTTTTTTGTTCTGTCAATCAGCGTTTTTGCAGAATTGTACGTAATTGATTGGCAACGATATCAGAAACAGGATATATCATTCGATCCGTGAAGGACACTACTATCTTGTTGTTTGTCCGTTAAGCATAAATATTTTGACTTTTACACGACAGTGATTCAGACGTCAAACAAAACATAAATTCAACAAAAAGCAATGAAATGAAATAAGAGCATAAGGTAATAGAAATATGAAAGTTAGTATAAGAGTATAGGATTTATTTTATTAAAAAATAATGAAAGAAAATTGTCATAAAAGATTTGGATTGATGTACAAGCTGACGTAAAAACTTTAGGAAAATATATAATGATACAAAAACTATTGTTATACAATATTGTTATACAATAGACATTATAATGTAGTCATTTTTTTATTCAATGTTCCATGTAATAATCTTTAACATGTGTCGTTGATTCTGTTGTCATACATCTCAATCGCAGAATACATACTCAAAATCTCAACCGCAGGACATCCCATTTCATCTCTCTCTCTCTC